GCACAGTATAGGGGCCTAGAATATAGACATGGGGGGCTGGAGAAGACCCTCTCACAGAGAAAGGGCTCTAAGCCGGACATCAGAAGGTGAGATCACATGCATGGCTTTGTGGGTAATGAGCCATTTGCGGTGGGCCCTAGATTTCCACAGGAGAAGGTGGGATGGGGAAAGGCAGTTCCTGGCAGAGTTTGTAGAAAAGTCATAAAAGTAGCGGTGTGTGAAGAGGCTGCAGGGAATGGCAAGTAGCCCATTTGGGTTTGGGGGTTCTGACCTTTGGGATGCTTGGAGACAAGGCTGGAAGGTGGGGAGGGGTATGAGAGAGGCAGTGGGAGCCCTTGACCTCAAGAGGCTCACAGTCTAGTTAGGGAGGCAAAGCCCCACAGTGCAGGGAGATGGTGGCGGGTGTCCAAGAAAGTGCTGTGGGTACTCTCAGGGCAAGGAGAGGTTAGCTAGTGGAACCAGGTCAGGCTGCCCCTGGGAGGCAGACCTTGAAGAACATGTTGGTGTTGAACATGCCAAGATGCACAGAGAAGATTTCTTGGCAGAGAAGACCACACATGCAAAGGTGTGGAAGCAGGAGCTTGCACCCCTTCCTGCATGGGCACTGGGGAGCCATTGGCGGTTCCTGAGCTGGGGGAGAGACCCAAGTTGGATCTGGATCTAGGGTGGATAAGAGGTAAAGGGAAGGGGTCTTGGAGGTAGGAGCACCCTTTTGGAGGCAGCTACACAACGAGATCAGGTAGTGATGGCCTCAGCAGCAGGTACATATGGGACCTATGGGGCGGTTTTCCTTTAAGTTGGGCCAAGGATTGTTGCAAGCTGCAATCTCATACTCACATTGCCCTGCAGGGGTGAGGGAGAGGGCCGGGAATGCAGTTGCAACCCAAGGCCTCACTGACCCAGGAAGATTTTTGTGGAGAGGCTGCCCAGGGCCAGTGGGGGCAAGGAGGGCCGCGTGTACTCACTATCATGCCAGCCCCTGTCCATCAACTTGCCCCATTTAACCCTCCCAGCAGCCTTATGGAGCAGGTCCTAGTGTCATCCCCATTTCGCAGAAGAGGGAAATGAGGCACAAGAGGTAGAATGGCTTGCGCTATTGCACGGCTAGGGTGTAAGAGGCCAGGATTTGAACATGCATCTCCCTGACACCAAAGGCAGCCTCTTAGCTATGTGTGAGGTTGCCTTGCAGAGGCTTTATTCAGTAGCCAAAGGTCCAAACCCTCCCAAAGGAAAGGATCAAGAGCGTCTCCCGACATCGTTGCCCTTCCTCACTCCCTGGCCAGGCTGCTATTTCAAAGTGAACTAAGGGACCCCAGAAATAAGACCAATGAACTGATTTATCAAGCACTTAGTCTGTGCCAAGCATATAGAATGTATTTATCAGATGTATCTAGGCCAGGTGTGTATATGATGTATTTATCCTGGCTCAGGAACCTGCAGTGGCTCCCCAGTGCCCTGGTCCAGTGGTCTTAACCTCATTTCACAGATGAGAACTTTGATGCTTAGAGCAGATGTGTTGCCCATAACGGGATTTGAACGCCGGGCTGCTGATTCCTGGGTCTGTATTATTTCTAAGACACCTCACTGCGTTCTGCACTGGCAGGAAGGGGTGAACCCATGGCTTCAGAACTGGAACAGGAAAGTGGACCAACATGGAGCCCGCCCCAGCCGCAGCCCTAGGGAAGCGTCCAAGCTGGCTCTTCGTATATAAATCATGGTCTGTTTACTGAACAGGGAGTGTGTCTTTCCTCCTGGGGAGCTGCCCCAGGGTGGCTGCAGGTGCAAATAGGGTTGAATTCAGGATAGGGCCTTCTCTCCTGCCCAGCCTGACCGCTGGGTAACCTCTGGCCTGGAATGAAAGGCTTTCCAGTAAGTGCCTTGCTGGACTGCAGCTCAGCCATGTGCCAGGTGGGAATGGGGGTGGGAGACCAACCAAGAGAAGGATTCAGGAGCCTGAGAGCAGGGGCAGGAACTTGCCAACAAATCTCTTAGCAAGCTGCTTTCTCAGCTGGCCGCATAGAGCGTCCCCAGGGACGTCACAGGGCAGAGCTGGTCACGAGGAGCCCTGGCTGCCCTCCCAGCCTGATCTAGAGGAAGAAGGGCGCATGGGGTGAAAACACCAGGGAGCCCAGGGCAGGATTCAGAAATCAGACACTGCGGCTGCCTGTCCCCTGGCCTTGAAGGACACACGGCCTGGGCCTCTCTTGATCCGTAACTGATCCGAGGGGGTGGAGTGGGGTGGGTAATCAGATCTGCAACTGTTTTCACAGAGAACTGAGCGGCCCTGCCATGCCCCATGTGTGGAAAACATTCCACTTGGCCTGGGGCCAGGCCAGTCCCTGCTTGGTCTAGACTTGAGTGTGTCCCATCCCCTCTCTGAGGTCTTCATCTGTGACAATGAAGGGGTAGGGGCAGCAGGATCCCCCAAATTCCTCCAGGCCCTTCAAATGTCTGGTTTGAGGTCTGATAGAACAGGAAGGGGCCTGAGCTGCAGCCAGGAGCGCGGACACCAGGCCTTCACCCTGTGTGCCTTGCTCATTCCCCTGGGCTCCTCAGTGCCTCCCTGCTTGAGCTCCTCAAGAGGGTGAATAAGGCCCAGGAACTCCGTTCAGCCCTGCCACCTACAGGGGAAGCAGCTGGGATGAACCAGCAAAGGACCAAGTCTGTTTGGCTTTGGGATGTGTTTTCCTACCACTCCTTAGGCGTGGGAGGGGTTGACATTCTGGAAATTCACTTCAGCCCAAACAGGGAAGCCATCCCAGGATGCAGTGCTGAGTCCCTCCAGCCTTCTCCTCCCTCCTTGGCGAACTCCCTTCTGGTAATAGATTCTCCGACCTCCAGCCCATCCCAGGACACAGGGCTGGGTCCCTCCAGCCCTCTGCTCCCTCCTTGGCGAGCCCTCCCTTCTGGTAATAGATTCTTCCACCTCCAGCCTCATCTTCCTCCTAACTGCTCCCCCCCTCTCACTCTCATTCCATTCTTTTTCCCGGCCGTGTGCTTTTTCAGACCTTGCCCAGCCTAGAGAGGTGGTTAAGTGTCTGAATTTCAGGATTCTCTTCCTTCAGTCAACACAAGTGAGCAGTTAGGAAGCCCTCATTAAGGAGATTAGAGGCTAACTCTGAATTCAGGAGGTGCCGCAAAGCACACACTGCAGACTCAAGTGGGCTCAACAGGCTCCAGAGTTTCCACTGCGGAAGGTGGAGCCTGTGACTCTCAATGTTTTCAGCCTCTTCAGGGAGGACACTGAAGGAACAATCACTCCTGTTAGGGTTGCACTCTGGTCCCTAAAGGAAATTGCTGCTGCCTGCAATGACTCCATAGTTGTAAGGAGTTGATGGGAGACGCCACCTCTTTCAGGAAGCCCTTCAGATAGTACCAGGCATGTCTCTTTCTCCCTCCCCTTCACCTTCACAGTTTCCTGCACTGAGTGCAGAAGCTCTGGTTGTGCCCGAGGGTGTCTTCCTCATTACTTTTCTGTCTGGTTCATGGGATGGAAAACTATCATTTTGCACTTATGTCAGCCTTTACTCCCAGGACAGGTCCTGATGCCCAGTGGTAGGGGCCAGGCCTCGTAGTTCATTCATGCACTAGAATGAGAATGGCCACAAATTTTTGCTTTGTGCATTTGTTTGGTTTCTTTGTCCAAATTTTCTTTCCTTTTTTTTTTTTTTAATGGAAATAAGTTTCTGGTTATAAAAAAGTAACCCATGAGCTGAAGAAATCAAAAAGCACCTGTAATCCCGGCACTCAGAGGTAGCCACTGGGTCATTCTATCCAGACTTAGTTCTGTACACTTATACTTTGATGTACAATAAGAATTATACTATTTTTTTTCTTCTTTGCAATTTACTTTTAAAAAAAAAAGAAAAAAAACAGATCCCATGGATGTCTCCCCAGGTAAATAGGCACAGGTCGACCCCACCTGTGTGGATGACTGTATGGTATCCTATTTTCTATTTGAGCCTCAGTTCACCCTCTATTAGCTACAGCTAATCTTGAAGAGACAGAGGATTGGCACGGTTATGATTTTTGGGCCAGATGCGGTGGCTCATGCCTGTAATTCCAACACTTTGGGAGGCTGAAGTGGGCAGATCACTTGAGGCCAGGCATTCGAGACCAGCCTTGGCCAACATGGTGAAACCCTGTTTCTACTAAAAATACAAAAATTAGCTGGGTGTGGTGGCATGCGTCTGTAATCCCAGCTCCCTGGGAGGCTGAGGCACGAGAATCACTTGAATCCAGGAGGTGAAGTTTGCAGGTTGCAGTGAGCTGAGATAGCACCATTATACTCTGGTCTAGGCGACAGAATGAGACCCTGTCTCAAAAAAAAAAAAAAAAAAAAGATTTTTGTATGCCAGGCTGGGGGTGGGGGCTCACGCCTGTAATCCAGCACTTTGTGAGGCCGAAGTGGGTGGATCACTTGAGGCCAGGAGTTCCAGACCAGCCTGGCCAAGATGGCAAAACCTTGTCTCTACTAAAAATACAAAAATTAGTTGGGCGTGGTGGTGAGCACCTGTGGTCCCAGCTACTCGGGAGGCTGAGGTTGGAGAATTGCTTGAACCTGGGAGGCGGAGGTTACAGTGAGCCGAGATCACACCACTGTACTCCAGCTTGGGGGACAGAGTGAGACCCTGTCTCAAAAAAAAAAAAAAAAGAGTTTTGTATGCCAAAGTAGAGAAAAGTGGGTGGCTGACAGGCACTGATAGTTGACGCGCTGACCAACAGAAGAGTGGACCGAGGTCTGGGGAGTGGCGCAGCCTGAGCCCTTGGTTTCTGGCCGCTGTTTTCTGCCCTGAGGAGGAAGCAGCCCATGGTGGGGACTCTGGGTCTCGGCCTCAGCTTCGATGGTGGCACTGGAGTCCGCCTGGATGGTGCCTAAGGTCAGCCTTTGCTCCCGAGCCTGCGCTGGCATTGGAGGGGCCCTGGGAACAGTGGCTTTTCCAGTTGGGGAGAAGAGAAGGATGGCCCTGGGTCACACCCTCAATGCTCTGTGCCTGCAGGAGGCCTCAGTGGGGCGACGGTCATTGACTCCCTCGACACCCTCTACCTCATGGAGCTGAAAGAGGAGTTCCAGGAGGCCAAGGCCTGGGTGGAAGAGAGCTTCCACCTGAATGTGGTGAGTCAGAGGCCCTCGGGGGGTGGGGGCCAGAAGAGGCCCAACAGCCAGCTTCCCCCTGTCATCTCTGAGACCCAGAGATGTTGAGGGTCTCGCCCAAGGCTGCACAGCCCAGCAGTCTCAGAACCGGGGCTGCCGTGCACTCTGTGCTGAGTCCTTCCCTTAAGACAGCCTTGAGGTGGGGACATCTTCCCCAGTCTAGCATCCTCCCTAGGGAGGGGACACCACCACAACCATCCGTCCCCTCTCTGCAAGGTCAGTCATTGCTCATCTGGGGCACATTGCTCCCACCCTAGACGGCCCCCCAGGGCTGGATCTGTCACACAAAGCAGCGGCAGCAAGTGGGGAATGGCTTTGTGGAGGAGGGAAGTGGCTCATCTGCTCGGAGCTGCTCCAGCCTTGAGCCTGCCCTGCACTGGCCTGTTGAGATGGCTGGGTGGGGTGGGCGTGGAGTGGGTGGTCCACGTCCCTTTGCAGGCCCATGACCAGGCCTGGGACCTCTTGGTCTCCAGCCTTGCAGGCACACTTGCTCAGGGACCAGGGCCTTGCAGAGGAGATGGTCATGTGTCTGGATGGCACAACAGCCTTGAACAGCAGACCCCACCATGTTGATCCCTCAGCCCAGACTAAAGCAAGGCATGCATCCCAGAGGTGAGCTCCCCACGGAGAGAGGCTATTTACATGGACTTGGGGAGTAAGCAATGGAGACCGGGAGGCGAGGAGGGGCCGCATCCAAGCACACACCAGCCTCCATGTGGGCTCCAGGAGTGCCAGGTCCTGCTGCAGACAGGTCTGGGACCGGCTCCTCCAGCTCCTGGCAGCAGCGAGGCCCCTGCCTCCTTGAGAGACAGTTTGCTAGCACAGAGCAGGGCGGAGAGTCTGGGAGAGCCTGGGAATGCAACACTTTAGGGGAGCTTCCCTGGAGATAGAGGCCTCTGGAGTCCTGGCTGCCCTGCACCTCTTGGAAAAGTCATTGACCCTCCCTGAGCCTTGGATTCCTCAACTATACAATGAGAATGGTGACAACAGCAACGATATTAATAATGCCTAACTCATAGGCTTATCATGAGAATTAAATACAGTGGAGAGTTGTAGCCACATTTTATAACACTGTGAAGTCTGATGCTGGTGTAAAGTGAGGTCACCCTTGTCATTATTAGGATGACTTTGAGGCTTGTTAACACTTCTGGTTGTTTGTGTGAGGCCAAGGAAGCTGAGAATCCTCCATTACCCGTCTTTGGGTTGGAGAAAGATGGAGGAAGAAGGAAGGAGTGTCCCCCTAGGCCTTCCTTGTCCCCTGTGTAGACAGTGGCTCTTTGGGATACAGAATGGGCTCAAGCAGCTACCCACAGTGCCCTAGGAACCGGGGAACACTCAGGCAGGTAGGGGAGATGAGGAAATGTCCCTGGAAGAAAGCAAGGTGGGGTCACTCGACCTGGAACCTTGACTTTCTCATCTGAGAAGTGGGAATGATGACCCTTGCCACACTCTGACCTCACTGAGCCCTGGGAGGCTGAAAGGGAGCGGTTTTGCAGGTGCTCTGTGGGTGGAAGAGTTCCCCCAGGTTAACAGATGAGCACTGCTGTTCTCAGTGATAAAGACAGTGGTGTTCAAAGCATGCTGGGGGAACCCTCCGGGGCAAGGAGGGTGACAACAGGCATGTCCGGCTATGGGCAGGCCTCTCTCTGCAGCGCCCCTGTGTCCCGTCTCCACCCTGCATGGGAGGGGTTGGCAGCCCTTTTCTGCAGCTGAGGAAATGGGGCAGGGAAGGGCTGCACATCTTTCCTGAGGTGCCAAAGCCAGGTCCGTGGCTCAGGTGGGATTTACCCCAGATCTGGTCCTGGCGTGATGCTCCAGCACCCCTGATTTGCAATCCCAACTTAGGAAAGAAAATAGAAATGATTAAGGCAAGTATGGGCATGCCCTGTGCGCCCTGAGGTGAGGGCCCAAGAAACTGCTGCTCACTGAATACGCAGCTGCCAGGCCCCTCCTTCTTAGCCCCAGCCTGTCCCTGTCTGCCCCGCAGCCTCCTCAGAGAACCAGGGAAGGGCCTCGCTGTCTTCCTGCTAAGCCCTGGGGTCTCCCTGGGAAGAACAAGTAGCCTGACCAGAGCGGGCTTCGCCTCCCCTCAGTCTAAGCTCCAGCCAGCAGCTCTCCAGGCAGGTTCTGGCGCTCCTTGGAGCACAGCCAGGCATCACTTTGCTGCCATCGCCTTGGCAAGGGCTGGGGAAGGAAACCAAGCCCAGCATTTATTTGGAATGCTGGAAATTGCAGGAGCTCTGCCAGGCAGGTGCTGATTCCTCTCAACTTTTGTTATGAAAACCACCACCACCTTGCCTGGCTCACCAGAGCCGGGCACAGGTACGGGAGGAGTATCAGTGGCCAGGGTGACCTGTCTCAAGGGTCTGCATCTTACAAGTGTCCCCACTGTCCCCCTCCTTTCTGTCCTGCAGAGCGGAGAAGCATCCTTGTTTGAGGTGAACATTCGCTACATCGGGGGACTCCTCTCAGCCTTCTACCTGACGGGAGAAGAGGTGGGTTGGCCCTTCACGACCCCTGGACTGTCCAGGCTGGAAAGGGCTTTGGAGAACATCCAGTCCTTCCCCCTCAGGCCACCCATGGGAAAAGAGACTTAAGGGGGCAAGGATGGGCCTGGGGCCGCCCAAGTCCGCCCCTGAGGGCCTGTTTTCCCTCCGACCATCCCTCCCCTCCCTGCTTAATCAGTCATTGCTTATGGTGGGCGTGTTGCTCCCACCCCGGACGGCCCCCCAAGGCTGAATCTATCACACAAAGCAGCGGCAGCAAGAGGGGAACGGCTCTTCCTCCTTTACTCTGATGCCCCCATTCTGCTGCCCAGGTGAGCCCAGCTGGCTCCCACGGGTGCTTGTACGTTCTCTGAGAGCAGCAGCTGGGTCCACACAGCATCTGCTCAAATCCCACTCAGCATCCAGCAGACACCTGGGCTGCTTTTCACGGGTGTTTGTTCTCAGGACTGATAAAGCCAAGACCAAGACCCCCAGGCCTTGTCCTCCACAGCCACCCCTTGTCCTCCCCTCCTGGGCCAACCACCAGCCAGACACCTGCTCCAGGTCTCACAGGGGCAGCAGGTGAGGTGGGGCAGCCACTGCTGTATCTGCGAGTGTCAGGCCTTGCCCCCAGGTGAGCTGTGTTGGCTTCCACAAGGAGGGCTGGGAAGTGCACGCTGCAGGAAGGCAGAGCTGGTGCAGTCAGGAAACCTGGCCCTCACTCCACGCCACCCTCACCTACTCATGGGCTTAGCGAGCTCCTTGTCCCACCCTGGGCCTCACCTCCTTCCCCAGCATGGATGGTTCTGATACCCCTTCGCTCAAAGAGCTCTTAGGACATGGGATAGGAAGGAAAGTGTGGGGCCCCAAGGCTGACGGCTCCAAAGTCCATATTCTCCTCCCTGCAAGAGAATTTTGAAAACCACAGAGCTCTATAGAAATGGGAGGCTTCTTCATCCCCCATCCTGAGCTCCAGTGAAAGCACAGCCCAGATATCTGGTGGTGAGGTTGGCTGAGTCCCCAAAACATCAGTCATTGGTCAGTTCTGTTCCCCATTACTCAGATGGGCTGCCGTGAGGCTAGACGCCTCCCTGCTCTGACCACCCAGAGACAAATAATGATGCCTGCCCCCCCGCCACCCAAGGAGCCATAGAGGTGAGGCGGGCAAGCCACAGAATAATCCCTCTTCACCTCCACCGCTGCTGTCTGGAAAGTCATTTCCACTTTCCTTCATCTGTGAAGGTGCCAGGGGCTGAAGTCAAGGGTTTCGAGGCAACAGGCGGGCGCCTTATCTCTGCAGTTGCTCCAGGCCTCTCTCCATCGAGCATAATCTCCTCAGCAGAGATTAGCGCTTGTACCAATTTGTCCCCAAATAATTGTAGATGGAAGCCCTCGGCTTTGAGCCGCCCAGAGCCTGAATTTCGTTTGAAAACTCCAGGACAGGAAGATGACAGAAGGAGCAGAAAAAGCATCCTTGTTCTTCAGGGCATGTGCCCAGCCTCCTTGCTTGGCCGTGGTCAGTGCAGATGGCCTGCAGGAAGGAAGAGTGGAGGACACAACTGAGGACTCCCGGGGCGGTTTGGAGGGGAGCAATTCAGGAAAGAGTTGGTCGCTGTTGAGACACATTGCCTCTTCCTTCCTTCCCTCTCTTCCATCCATCTTTCCTCCCTTCCGTCCATCTTTCCTTCCGTTCTTCCTTCTTTCTGTCCATCTTTCCTCCCTTCCCTCCCCACTTTCCATCCATCTTTCCTTCCATCCTTCTATCCATCTTTTCTTCCATCCTTCCATTCATCTTTCCTTCCATCTATTTTTCCTTCCTTCCGTCTATCTTTCCTTCCATTTTTCCTTTCCTTTGTTCATCTTTCCTTCCGTCCTTCCTTCCATCCATCTTTCCTTCCATCCTTCCTTCCCTTCATTCATCTTTCCTTCCATCCTTCCTTCCATTTATCTTTCCTTCTGTCTTGTCTTCCTTCCTTCTCCTTCCATCCATCTTTTCTTCTGTCCTTTTCTCCTTCCATCCATCATGCATCTTCCCTGCCATTTTTCTTCCCTTCCTCCCTTCCCTCTTCAAGGGCATCTGTGGTTCTGAGAACTTGCTTTGAGGCCTCAACTTCCTAGAAGGCACCAGCAGCTCAGCTTTCCAGAACATAGACCAGATAGTGGGGTGTGGACAGGAGCACCTGTGACTTGAAAAACAGCTCAAAAGGCTCAAGGAGAGGCCAACGTGGCCAGAACCCTTGGGTGGCCAGGCAGGCTCCTGTGCCAGTCAGTGCAGCACCTGCCATCTGGCCACACCTTACTGATTTGTCCCCCGAACACCTCCCTGAACCAGATGCCATGCTGTGTTCCTCATGTGCTTTCTCACTGGAGCCTCGGATGGCCCCATCAGGTGCCTGTTATCACCAATTTGCAGATGAGGAAACTGAGACTTAGAAGCAGTAACTGGCTCTGGGTCGCACAGTCTCTGAGGGCTGTCTTGGCCCTGACTCCTGACCCTGTGGCCTTTGTGCTATGGGCCTGGATCACAGCCTGGCATGGCATCACTGCTTGTCACCCGGGCTCAGCCACACTAGACTGAGGCCTCCCTCTTCCCTTAGTCCTTGAGCTCACATGCAGTGGGTGCCTGTTGGGTGGATCTTTCCATTCTTAAAATTTCCCATAAAGGTTTGTGGAATGAAGGGTGAAGGAGACCCCACACTTTTCTAGGCTGAGGCCTTTCTTTGCTTAAGATGAAGCTTCAGAGGGAGACCCCCTGCTAGGTAGGCCAGTCCTACCAAGAGCCAGTGCCCATGGGAATAACTTGCATAACCACAGCTGCACACGTGGTGTTGGCACAGCACTTCATAGTTTACAAAGCACATTCATTTCTCTACATCCTCTCATTTGATTTCCACAAAGACCCCTGCAGCAGCGGAGCACGTGCCACCATTGTGTTGTGCGGACGAGGAAACCAAGGTGCAGTGAGGTTTCCTTCCCCCTCCCTTCTCCTCCACCTGGCTATTTTTTGTATTTTTAGTAGAGACGGGGTTTCACTTTGTTGGCCAGGATGGTCTCGAACTCCTGACCTCAGGTGATCCACCCACCTCAGCCTCCCAAAATGCTGGGATTGTAGGCGTGAGCCACCGCGCCTGGCCCACAGCATCGTTTCAATAGCTGCATGGAATTTTGTTGCATGGAGCCATTATCTAACCACTTTCCTATTATTTGATATTTAGAATACTTCCAGTTTTTCCCACTATTCTAAGGGGCGCACTATAGCCACACAGCTGCGAAGTGGAAGGATCCGCACTTGGGCCCTGACTCCCAGCCCTGCGCCCTTCCCACCTCACAGAATGCAATTCCTACTGGTTTCTCTCACCCCTGTTCTGGAATTGTGGCCGCTAGGCTGTATCTCTGCGTTGGAGAGACAGCTTGGTGTCCTGGAAAAGAGCCCCTTAACAGCTCCACAACCTTGGGCAAGTTGCTCCTCTGAGACTCAGTTTTCTCATCCTCACAGTGGGTCAGCACCTTCCCCACAGGCTGTTGCAAGGGCTGAGGCCGGGCACGCCTGTCCGCACACATTCACTCAGCATCCTTCCAGGGACAGCTGAGACCTGCAGTGCCAGCCAGCAGCAGGGCCTTCAGAGGAGGGGATGTGGTTTGCTGGCAGAGAGGAGCATCTAAGAAGTGTTAGTTCAGCATCCCCAGGGCTGAGGGCAGCCAGACGGCTGCGTGGAGCCTCAGCATCTGGGCTGTGGTTCTGGTGGGTTCGTTTGTTCACCTTGGGCAGCCTCCCTGGGGGCAAATGAAGATGTAAAGAGCCTCAGTGCGACCAAGGGCCTTGAGAGCCCTTTGTTGTTACTAAGCCTGGCTGTGCACCAGAATCCCAGAGAGCAGATCTGTCTGTCATTCTGGGCTTTGGAATCTGAATCCTAGACCAGCTCCCCAAGGGATCTGATGGGGCTGGTCCCTGTGCCCGCTTCTGGGCCCCTCTGTCTGGCACTAGACATTCTCATCTTCTCTGACCCATCACTGCCAGACGCAGCGCAGCCCCTCCCTCCCACGAGAAGAAAACCACCCCCACCTCAGAGACCTCAAGTCCACATCCCTTTTAAAGTGTCCTGAAATTCCCCTCCCACTGCATTCCCTACACAGCTGCCTCGGCAATTTCTAATTGTCGGGGAGCCGGGGCAGGACTCAAGAAGGCTTTGTTTTGCAAGGACCACAGGAGGTCAGCAAACTGGGCCCCCTCAAGCTCCAGAAGTGAAAAGACCTGTGTATTCCCCACTCTGAGTGGTTTCCTAGGGGCTTGTGTCTCATCTTTTAAAAATAAATAACATTTATTGTGGCTGTTCTTTTATTATAAAAATCACAGAGGAAATAGAGATGAGCCAAAAGAAAATAAAAATGATCCATACGCTTAACCCCCTAGAAGGCCATTATTAATATTTTGTTATATTTCTTTCCTTTCTTCCATGTCCACGGGATCTTTACCAAAGTTGAATTACTCCGTTTTGAAATGTATTTCTCTTAATAGGTTATAAACCCTTTCTTTGCTGTTAATATTCTTCTATAGCAGCATTTTATTTTATTTTATTTTATTTTATTTTATTTTATTTTATTTATTTTTGAGGTGGAGTCTTGCTCAGCTCACTGGAACTTCTGCTTGCCAGGTTCAGGCGATTCTCCTGCCTCAGCCTCCCGAGTAGCTGGGATTACAGGCGCCTGCCACCACGCCCGGCTATTTTTTGTATTTTTAGTAGAGATGGGGTTTCTCCATGTTGGCCAGGCTGGTCTCAACTCCTGACCTCAGGTGATCCGCCCACCTCGGCCTCCCAAAGTGCTGGGATTACAGGTGTGAGCCACCGCGCCCAGCCCACAGCATCGTTTCAATAGCTGCATGGGATTTTGTTGCATGGAGCCATTATCTAACCACTTTCCTATTGTTTGATATTTAGAACACTTCCAGTTTTTCCCATTATTCTAAACAGTGCTGGAGTAAATAAATCTTTTTTTTTTTTTTTTTTTTGAGACGGAGTCTTGCTCTGTCACCCAGGCTGGAGTGCTGTGGCCGGATCTCAGCTCACTGCAAGCTCCGCCTCCCGGGTTCACGCCATTCTCCTGCCTCAGCCTCCAAGTAGCTGGGACTACAGGCGCCCGCCACCTCGCCCGGCTGGTTTTTTGTATTTTTTTTAGTAGAAACGGGGTTTCACCGTGTGAGCCAGGATGGTCTCGATCTCCTGACCTCGTGATCCGCCCACCTCGGCCTCCCAAAGTGCTGGGATTACAGGCTTGAGCCACCGCGCCCGGCCATAAATAAATCTTTACAACATTCTCGATTATTTCTTCAGAATAAATTCCCAGGCAGGAAATGGCTGGGTCAGAAGGTCACAGGGCCTTTTGAATTAATCAGACATCTCAGAACAGTTTGAAGGGGTCCGAGCCTCAGGCAGGGGCCGCGACACCTGGGATCTCCCTGTGGCTCCCTTGCTATCCTGTGGGTGGTTGAGGATAAGCTACTCACCCTCTCCCTTCATTCGCCGTCTGTGAAATAGGAACGGTGGGCAGGATCAGGATGTCAAAGTGGGACGGGCCTGTCCACTGCTGTTACGTAGGAAGAGGGAAACTGTCGCCCAGGAGGAAGTGGTCTCTGGAACCTGAGGGTGGTCTTGGCTCCCAGTCCAGTGCTCTTGACAGTCTGTCCGAATGGCACCACCCGTTCCCATGCCCTCTGCCTGTGGTATCGTCCTGCAGTGTGGGCAGGCACAGACCTTTGGAGACCGGCCCGTCTCTGCCAGGTCTTCATCTGGACTTGGAGGTGCCCCCCGCCCCCGGCACCTCACTGCTTTCTCCCTCATCTTCCCAGTAGCCGCCCCGTCCCAATGAGCAGCATCCAGCCTTTGCCACCAGAGTCCTGACACTGTGGTAGATGCTTTGCCACAATTATCTAATTTTCATTTCTCTCAACAACTCTGTAAGAAGGCCAATATTATCCTATTTTACGGACAAAAGCTGAGGCTCAGAAGTACCTTGCCCAAGTCCACATGGCCAGCAGTTGGAAGGGCCGGGCTGGTGGGCTGCAGCACTGCCGCCCACTCTAGGCCTGCAGCCCTGGGTGGTTCATCCTGCCTGCAGCAGTTCTGGGGTTGAACTGCCTGCAGCAGCCTGGAGTCGAAAGCCCTTTGACCTCCTCCTTTACAGGTGTTCCGAATAAAGGCCATCAGGCTGGGAGAGAAGCTCCTGCCGGCGTTCAACACCCCCACGGGAATCCCAAAGGGCGTGGTGAGCTTCAAAAGGTAGGACGCCATCTCGTTCCCCACGGGGGCTTTGCTGCGACCATGCCCGCCGCTTGTGTGTCTTCTCTGGGTGGGGCTGGTGAGGAGGCTCCAGGGGCAGTGGGCAGGCAAGCAGGAGGGAGGACCCTTGGAACCACCTTTGTCAAGCTCGTTCTTTTATGATGTAGAAACTGAGGCTCAGGGAGAGGACCATACCTGCCTTGGGAGCCACAGTGAGTCAGTGGCACAGTAAAAGTGCCAACGACTTTCCCGGACAGGTGTTTGTCACTAAACCTGGGTCTCAGGGTTTAGTCCACATAAGCCTGAACCTCCTGGGGTGGGCAGGGACAGTTCCTCTGGACATCCCACAGTGCTGTCTTAAGAGCCCTCCACAGTGGCCCCAAACACTCTCTTCCCCCATTGGGGTTCCAGAGCCAGCAGGCACATCACACCCTCCTCCTCCCCCAGTGAGGAGGTCCCCGAAGCTGCTAGGAGATCTCAGGATCCCAGCCCTCCCGGACAGGAGCCTAGCTCTCAAGGAGCCCTAGCCACTGTCCCTGGGCTGCATGGAGCTACTTAATAGAAGCCACATCCCTGGGCACCCAGCAGCTCTCTGGGGCCATCCTCAAGGCCCATCAACAACCCCGACCCTAGGAAGGCCGTGATGTTCCACCGTACCAGACTTCCCATCCCATCTCCTGAAGTAATTTCTCATCTCAGGACTCTCAACCCAACAGAAGCTTCAGCCAGCTGTCCAGGAGGAGAGGCAGGGGCCCTGGGCTCTGGTTGGAGGACCTGTAGCTCCGGTCACTGTCCTGGGGAGGTTCCACCCTTCATGTCAGCCTCAAGGGCTTCACCACCTTTCTCTGGTCTTGCAAAAAGAGGGCTTGGCATGTTCAGCATCTTCATCAACTGTCCTCCCTGTGGTCGGGAAGAATTCCCAGGGTGTGAGCTCACTGGAATCTCACCATAGGCCAGGGAGTGGGGTGCTCTCAGGGGCTGGAGAAATCCCAGTCTCGATGCCAGGGTTGACTCCTCAGAGCTGGACTCTTGGATCTCTGCTCAGATCCCTCTTCCATAAACACTGATCCTGGAGAGACACGGCCAGCTGTCATGAAGCCCAGACACACACACACTGTCCTCTGGCTCCCCCTCCCCGGGTCTGGGGTAGGACCTCGTTGGGGGCATCCTTTCCTCTTCTGTCCCTAGCCCTTCCCTAGGTCTCTCAGAGCAGGGACCCGATCTGACACGAATCCTGACATTTCTGATTAAGGAAGTGCGTTTGCTTTTAGGCTGTTTGTGTGTTCTCCATGCCATGTGCGTTCTTGTGTATTTCCTGGCAACATCCCCCTTTTTGTTCTTGGTAAGAGAGGCTGTTGCTAAAAATGCCTGCCTCGGAGAGTGGCAGGGCTGTATGGGCCCATGTGGCACTGAGTTTGCTCTTCAGAGGGGGCCTCCTGGCAGGAGCTGGGCTACTGTTGTTGCACCTGCCCCCGGCAGGGCTCACTGTGGGCAGCCCCGACAGGAGGGGCAAGAACGTGGGCCCTCCAGGAGAGTAGGTAACCAGCCCTGCCCTACACATCAGGGTGGGACGGACCCTGAGGAGAGGCCATTCCCCAGCAGGTTTGAGCTGCACCTCCTCCCTGGTGTCTGCACAGACCGGCCTGGGAGACTGAGGCAGGGCCAGCCTGACCTGGGACCTTCAGGGACACTGGACTGCCTGGGAGAGTGACGACGGCCCGTGCAAGGACCTCTGCAGCCAAGTCGGTCTCTTTCACTCATGCTCTCTCACACACATGCAAACACTCTCCTGCCACCCTTATAGATGATAAAGGCCCGGATACACAAGCTGGCCTTTGTCGCAGACACGCTGGCATCCATACACAGGCACACACATTCACAAACGAATATCCGTTTACACGTGCATGCTTCCGCCACACACAAATAGACATGTCTTCACAATCGCAAATGTCTGGTGAGAAGTCACTGTGCGTCAGGCATCACGTGAGCACGTGACATGGATTGTCTTTTCAACCTTACAGCAACCACAGGGACTCCATTTTACCAGTAAAGAAACTGAGGCTCAGAGAGGTGAGGTAACTTCCCTGAGGTCACACAGCAGCAAAGCAAACTTAATTAGAAGCCCAGTCTGTCTGCCTCCAAAGTTGATGATTACACCATACTCATGAGTGTACCTGCCTAGAAGCTATAGCCAGGGTGGGGAGGGGCATTGTGGAGCAGCCCCTCCTGCCAGGAGAGAGAACACAGGCTCTGCGCCCACTTGCACTTGAAAGGCTGGGAGAGGAGGGCAGAGCTTCCTGCTGGCCCATTGGCTCACAGGGCTGAGCAGAGGACCTCCTGGTCTCTCGGATGCTGCCCAAAGCAGATGCATTTGGGGCACAGAACACCTAGGATTTGGAATTGGATTCAGTTCTACCACTTACTGTGTGGCCTCGCCCTCATTCTATGAAATAAAGATAATGGTATCTACCTCCGAAGTTGGTTGTGAAGGTAAAATAAGAACCACCAGAACCACCTGGCACAGATTAGAAACTTAGTAACAACAACATTTACATGTGCATAATTACATAATGATAAAAATGACAATACCTACATGCATAATTTATACCTCACAATAACTCTATGAAGTGTGGGTGCTGTCACTTAAGGGATGAGGAAACTGAGTTCTAGGGAAGTTAACCAACCTGCCCGAGGTCACCTTGCTGGGACCCGGAGAAGCCAGCATTGGAAGCTGGGCAGGAGAGGAAAGGCACCCGGCCACCTGCCTGCCTCTGGCCAGGCTGGCTCACTTGTCTGCCAGGGCGTCTCCACCACAGGAAGCCCACTCGGGAGGGTGAGCGTGTGAGAGTGGGAGAGAGGAAGGAGAGGCCCACGTGGGGGAAAATGAGAACAAAAGACAGCTGGAGGGCTGGTGGCTTTTTCCTACTTTAAACTTCCCTGAGAATGCAGGAAGAATGAATTATTCAGGAAGCTCTCTGAGACTCACTGAGATCACAAGCTGGAGAGAGAAGTCTCAGCTAGCCTTGGAGGAAGAGGGACAGAGAAGGGGCAGGATGGCAGCTCCCTCTTTCCCTCTGGGTGAGTGCAGGGCCATCTTAGGGTGGGAGGCCCAGCAGACCTGTTTGAATCTTGTCTCCATCATCTTCTGCCTCTGACCTCAAACACTTCACTTCCCTGTGTGAGCCTCAGTTTCCTCCTTTGCATAGGGATATGAATGATGCTTTATGTTATGGGCTTTCGATGAAGTAATGATGTAAACTGCTTGCCCCAGTGCCTGGCACATTATAGCGGCTCAATAAATGGAAATTCTTTTGTTTATTCAGATCAGGAGCCAAGTTTCCCCTCCTGTGCAACCCATCCCTCCCCCACTGTCCCCTGCCCCAAGCCAGGATGAAGGGGGTGGCTGTCTCTACATGTGTTGAGGTCACCTGACCCCAAAGATCTCAAAACCTGAGTCCTCCATCTGTTCCCAGAAGCTGGGAGGCTGGTAAGTGTCCCTACTTTCCCAGAAACCACATCCAGCCCCAAGAACGGAGTTAAGAGAGAACAGCAGCATCAGGGGAGCCCCAGCCCTACCCCAGGAAAAGCAGCACCCCTCAAGCGGCAAACAGTGACCTCCACACCCCCACGCCTGCCTTCCTAAGCCCGTCCATGGAGACAGAGGGGCAGACAGGCCAGTTCCTGGGAGGGCAGTGCGACCAGCAGCAAGGAAGCAGAGTGCCCCTGGCAGAGCCAGTCCCTCAACCTGTTCCACACTAACTGTACCTCAGAGCCGCTACAAATGGGAGGACGTCACTCCACCCTGCTCTGCCCCTCCTCTGTCCACAGCCTTCCTGCAGAAACCATGTGCCCCTGATTGTCCTAAATGTCCCACAGGAAAGATAATCGTGATACATAGAGGAGACTGAGGTGCAGGGAGGGGGAGCAGCTTGCCCAGAACCACCCCCATTCTGCACCCTCTTTTCCTCTTTATCCCCACAAAAGCCCAGGAAGGAGGAGGCATGAACCTAGGAGATGGAGGCATCACCTTTGCCATGTCTTACGGAGGCAGGCACTGAGGCAAGCAAGGATTAAGTGGTTTGCCCGAGGTCTCCAGCTGAGTGACACTTGAACCTGCACCTTCTGGCTCCAGATCTCAGGGAGACTGTAAATGAATGCTCCTGGAAAGGCAGTGTCCTTGTTCCCTATCCTATGATCAAAAGAGAAGCAAGCTGCACAGCAGTTAGCACAGGCTCTGGTGTCAGAGCCAGTGCTGGATCCCAGCTCTTCGAATTACTGTGTGATCTCAGGCGGGGGACATCACTGGCCTGTGCCTTGTTTACCCCATTTGCAAAAGGGGCAGCTGTGAGGATTAACCAGGATCCAGCCTCTGCATTCTTTGTCTTTGAAAGCACACAGCTCCAGATGTGTGGTCACACCAGAACTCCCTGCCTGTCTCATGTAGGTTCCATGAAATTCCAGGCCGGGGCCGTTTCGTGTCCGTGGGCAGCACTGACAGTGTGCTGGGAGAGGGAAAGAGCTAGGCGGGGCACTGCTTTTCATCGGCCCCATTTGCACCTGAATCACAGCACTGTTTATCCTCCACATGCAGAACCACCAGTGGTTGTGAGCCATCCGGTGCCTTCAGCCAGAGGACAGCAACTGGGTGTTCTGTGGTGTCTTTGTGGTCCCCGACGGCATTAACCACATCATCTGCAAATTCAGCATAACTCTTGTACCAGGTCTCGAGTTCCCAACTCTTACAGGGGTTGCTTGATGATGGAACAGAGAATATTCCAAGTCAGGCCTGGGTTCAAATGACCTTCAGTGAGTTACTTTATCTCAGTGTCCTCATCAGGAGGATTCACTGGAATTTTACGGCAAAAGCTCCTGGTTCCGTGCCTGGCACGTAGTAGGTGCCCCCACCGAGAAGCTGCCGGTACTCTCAGCAGAGGAGCCGGCCTGGCCAGCGGGGGGATGACGGGGGCTGCTTCTGTCTTTTCAGCGGGAGCTGGGGCTGGGCCACGGCCGGCAGCAGCAGCATCTTGGCGGAGTTTGGATCCCTGCACTTGGAATTCTTACACCTCACTGAGCTCTCTGGCAACCAGGTCTTCGCTGAAAAGGCAAGTCTCCTCCCCTCTCCCTCCCAAACAGCTCCCACCTTCTTCCTGCCGAGCAGAGGGATGAGCGTGCAGCTGCCACGGGGTTTTCAGAGGCGAATGTGTCCTCCCTCGTGGATCAGCAGGAGGGCAGTGGGGAGCCCGGGAGCCCAAGCTACCGCTAAGATAGCAAATAGCATCTACCTGTGCCCTAACGCCAGGTGGCAGGGAAGGTGAGCACGCAGAGTCAGTAAGATTCTACAGAGGGAAAGGGAGACACAAGATTCTGCTGGGGAAAAGGTTCTCACTGGTCTGCGTCAGCTCAGTGCAACCACCCATATGTGAAGTCTGGAGAAAGTGCAACTGAAATCTAGGCACCACCTTGCATTGGCAGGAATTGGCCACCTGGTGCAGAAGTCCCCTTTCCAGAGATGTTTAGCTTTTCCATGTGAGATCTGCCTGCCTTCTTCCCTGTGCCTGTTTAGCTCATGCCGTCAACAGGCTGGCATGGCAATACCCTGCCATGGCAGATGCCCCAACTGTTCATTCCTGCTGTTCAAGGCCACATGGGAAGCTGAGAGCACCAGTCAGCCCTGACAGCTGCCCATAACTGGCCTTGGGCAGCCCCCACTACCTAGAAGGGTCGCTGTAGGTCTGACCTTAAATCCAAAGAAGGGAAGTGCTCACACCTCCCTCAGATGGCACTCAGGCTCCAGCAGCTACGGTCCCTCCCTGAGGGCTGCCTGGGGAGATGGAAGCCCTGCCCATCCTCTAGAGCCCTCCAGGGAGAACTTTATGGCGGTGCCACTCCCAAAGCCTTGTCTTCCCCCTGGAATGCCCGCCTCTTAGACCAGTATGGGAGCTGGGAGAGGACTGATAGATTCCCACCTCTACGCCACAGCTCCCAGCTTGGCAGCTGGGAGATGATCGATTCCCACAGCTACCCCATGGCTCCCAGTATCATGTCGCCATCCAGCCTCAAAGCATCACCTGGCTCAGCTGTGAGGAAACAGATTTCTGGGCTTCGCTCCAGGGCCAGGCATCTACATTTTTAATATGCATTCATGTGCTTTTTGACGCATGGTTTGGGAGCACTACTTACTCAATGTAGGAGTCCACCTGAGTGTCCTTAAGAAGCTCAAGAAGAGCTGTTCAGCCTCTTCTTGATTACTTTCTCTGACAAGGAGCTCACTGCCACCCTTAACAGCTCATCCTCCTGGCAGCCCTTCCTTCAAAAGTGTTTTCCTTACATTGAGAGGGACTCTGCCTCCCTGAAACTCCCCCGTTTGAAAGCTCGTGCAGTGAGTTTAACCTCACTTCCCGGTAGCTCTTATTTTCTGATCCTTCCCCACCTCCAAGTCCCATCCCCCAACCTCCCTGTTTCCATTGCTCTTAAGTCAGACTCCTCTAGGAAGGTTCTGACCAGCTCGGAATGGAGTGGGACAGGGAACTCACTCCAGTCCCTGGTTATTCTGGAGTAATAGCTACCCCTGCCTGAGCACCCACTATGTGCTAGGCACATTATAATAGCTCCGCTCCTCCCAACAACCCTGTGAGGTGGGTCTTCCTGGTGCTCCCATATTTACAGAGGAGGAAACTAAGACTCAGAGAGGTCAAGTCACTTGCCCTGGGCCATCCAGCTGGTCAGTGATAAAGCCTTGATTGAAGTCCAGGACGTGCTGGCTCCTTCCAGACCAGATTGATAGAGCAGGCTGCAGGCTTTTGCTCTAGAGTCCATCCGTCTGTCTCTGTCTCCTCTACATTTACATACTCTGGCTATTTTCATCCCCCAATCATGCCTCCCACAGAGGCAATTATTGGCAGTCAACAAATTGGCCCAAATTCTAGAAGCGCCCGCGCCCTCCAGGGGAGCTAATTTAGCCTGCTTCACTGCTCACCACCAGGACAGTCGAGAGTAACTCAGGTACAAGCACATTCCTGTCCCGGTAATGGACTTCGTTAACATAAATGGATATGAAGTCTGACGTGGCAAAGCCAAGTGCCGTCGCCTGGAAAGGAAGGTCTGACTCAGAAAGGTGGCTGTCCCGCACTCCCGGCCCTGTACACACATAACTCTATCAACATGAGACAGGGTGGTCCCAAGGGCCTTTCTCTCCCGAGGGCTCTTGTGCTGGCTAGGATGTGCTGAGTAGGATTTAACCATTGTCGGAGAGCAGGCACTATGGATAAAGCCCTCCTGGATTCCACTTCTCACCTTCAGAGTCCCAAAGGTTGCAAACCCAGCCTCTTCCTGCTCCAGCTGGGGCAGCCTCTGCTCCATGGTCACCACCCTGATCTGCATTGGCCCAGTGCTGCCCTGTGTCGGGCAGGAATATGTATGGTTTATGTTGTCAGAATTCATTCACGTCCTGGCTCTGCCACTTAAGGACCAGGTGGCCATCAGCAAGTCACCAAACCTATCTGAGATTCAGGTTTCTTGTCTGTTACACTGAGATAATCCCTTGTCGGTTATGAGGGTTGGCGATAATGTAGATAACGGATCTGGCTCAAAGGAACTGAGAAAGGTTAACAGCTGTCATTGCTTTTTATAATTATTATTCTTTTTATTAAAACCCTGAAATGCCTGTTAGGGCATGGGTTATTCAGGAGCCCAAGCCTCTCCCCTGAAATGATTCCAGGATATCAGATAAAATAGCATATTACTAGACTGGGCCATATGAAACTGCCAGTATTGGACCTTTTTTGATTGCCTTATATACTTACTGTTTTTTAAATGGCCAGAAAAGTTAGCAACACTTAGCACTAAGCAGTTTTCAAGAATATAATACATTGTTATGAACTACAGTCATCATGTCTTATACCATAGATCTCTTAAACTTTTTTTTTTTTTTTGAGACAGTCTTGCTTTGTCGCCCAGGCCGCAGTGCAGTGGCGCAATCTCGGCTCACTGAAAGCTCCGCCTCCCGGGTTTACGCCATTCTCCTGCCTCAGCCTCCTGAGTAGCTGGGACTACAGGCGCCCGCCACTACGCCCAGCTAGTTTTTTGTATTTTTAATAGAGACAGGGTTTCACCATGTTAGCCAGGATAGTCTCGATCTCCTGACCTCGTGATCCGCCCGTCTCGGCCTCCCAAAGTGCTGGGATTACAGGCGTGAACCACCGCGCCTGGCTGATCTCTTAAACTTAATTCCTCCTAACTGAAATTTTATATCCTTTGATCAGCGTCTCACCAACCCTTGGTAACCACCATTCTACTCTCTACATCTACTTTTTTTTTTTTT